CAGCTGTCCTGAAGAAGCTCGGCCAAAAAAATGGCCGGAAGATGCCTCACGCGCCAACGCGTGATGTCGAAGTCTCGCCGGAAAATATTTTTCCGACTGCGCGTGAGGGCACGTGAGTGGAGATCTACCAGAGAAACTTTTACGGGTTGGTCGTCGGAAGCTGATCTACCTCGTGGTGGTGTTGGTTTTTGCACAAGACAAATGAATATGGACTTTTTCCTACGGACAGTGCTGTTTTGCCGGAAAAAAAGGCTTTTTTTTTTCTTCCCGGAGTTGCTGGAATTTATGCACAGCGAAATATATCTCACAATTGCTCTGATACCATGTGAAAATGCACGGGAGAAATCTATTATTAATTGATATTCTATGTTACAATGAGCCCTATTTATATGTATACATAACACATAATCTACTCATATTACATAAGGGACTAAGACTAATTACATATATTCACATAACTATTCTAACACAAATACAAAATTTGGATAAAGTTACTAGGTTCAGCCGAACTCGTATATCTCCTTCTAGCTCTGCCCCTGGTTGGAGGTATCAAATTCATCACTATTAATGTACAATCGTCATAGAAAGAAGTACTAGCGTCATTTTGATTGCTGGAGTCGGTCAAAGTTCAGGAAGGCACTGGCTGCTGCAGTTCCAGCTTGCTTGTCACCCTGACTTTGAATTTCTGATTTATGTTAAATGGAGACAAACATGGTGTTTGAGCAAAAGAGACATGTCCCTAATGGAAATATTTCGTCTCTTGACCTATAAAAGGTAAATCTTGAAGTTCAAAATTAATGCAGATATTATAGCTCAGCTCATAAGTACCTCAAGTCTTCAGATACAAACACAATTCAAATTTCAAACAAGAAAATCTCCATTTTTCTAGTTGAGTTTGACTACTTTTGCTACTGCACTGTTCTTGTCACAATGTTCTTCCAGAAAAAAGTATTCACCGCCTCTTATTTTTGCTTCCAATCAACAAAGCAAAATAGAAGAGAATCCTGTAGAAAATTCCCAAAGCAATGGTGATCCACAAACTAGTCCATTTGTCTAAACCATTCACCGCGGCTAGCTTCAATATATCTGTTCCTGTTGTCAAACAAGTTGAGTTTGTTATGTTCATCCCCAAGATCTTGCTCATGTCTTGAAGCAACTCTATCTTCAACGGCTCAGAAACATCCTTCAACGGCGAGGCATCAAAAATCTTGATACCCTTTACAAGACACTTGTATGGATCATCAAATTCATTCTGTAAAACACCTTGATAAGGGTATTTTGGTGGAGATAAATAGTGACACCATATCCAATAAAGGGGGATCCGATCTCGGTCAATGAACAAGCCACTTAACAACATAAACCAACCCAAAATTAAGGTGACTACTGTGTAAGCAACCATTTCAGAGTAAATAACTCCAGAGAGGAATGTGATAAAGGAAGTAGCAGCCCAAAATGTGGAAAACATGAAGAGGTAGAAAAAAACAAACCCCGAAAAGCCACCTGCTAGACCGACTAACCAATAAGTTGTTACAGCATGAGCAAGGGAGAGGACAAACAGTAAAGGAAGTGAGATGATGGTATGGGAGAGAACATAGGAGGAACAGCGATAAGCATTATACGCTGTCTCTCTCATGAAAATGTACCTTTCTTGGAGGAAAACTGGCATGGCGTAAAGAGATATGTAAAAGATTGAACCCACGGCAAAGGCAATGAAACCTAGCTTTTCTTGAATCCCTTTTGGGGAATTGTCCAGTTTCCTAAAGAGTGTGGCTAGAATGATCCCAGTTGCAACAACAGCACCAAAACGAACGTAAAACAGCTCAGGCATTCTCATGGAGTTAAGTATGGATCTTTTTGCTATCACAACCATTTCCATCCAGAATGGATTAGCAAATTTTGGGACGTCTAAGGAAGAAATATTGTGGTCGATATTTGTTGCTCCTGAGACTAATTTTCCCCTTGAAACACTTGCATTTATGGCATCTTGCAATGATGGTTTAGGTCCATTGAAAAAGCTGGGGCAAGTTGGATTTCTCTTTGCCATGATCTGTTGAATTCCACCAAGTTCTTGGTTCCATTTGGAGTTTCTTCTAGTTCTTGTATGAAATCTAAAGCCACCTCTGCCCAATTTTCATTTTCTGGAATTGGGGTCCCAAATTCAGCAAAGAACTGGGGAATGCTTGTAGGTGAACCACCAAAAACTATTTGACCACATGAAAGAAAGATCAAGCAGTCCAACAAACAGAGGATTCTGTAACTCGGCTGGTGAATTGACATGATCACAATGCTTCCACTTTGAGCTATTTTTTGCAAGACCTTGACCACCATATAAGCACTAGTAGAATCAAGTCCTGAAGTAGGTTCATCAAGAAATAGGAGAATAGGGTCATGAATGATTCCTATTCCAATTGAAACGCGCCTGCGTTCTCCGCCAGACACTCCCCTGTGGCCTTCATCTCCAATCATAGTATTAGCAGCATTTTGCAAGTCTAGTTGATCGATCAATGCTCGAACTCTTGCTTTCTTTCTAGACCAAGATAAAGTCCTTGGGAGATGGAATTCGGCTGAGAACATGAGGGTCTCTTCCACTGTTAGCATGGGAAATAAGAGGTCATCTTGCATGACATAAGCTGAGATCATTTTGAGAAACTTGGACTCCAAAACTTCACCATTCAAAGTTACACTACCTTTAAGGCTTTCCCTTGCTATACGGTCTGCAAGGGCGTCGATCAACGTGGATTTTCCTGAGCCACTAGCACCAAGGACCGTCATGATTTCGCCTTCCCTTGCTTCCCCGGAAATGTCATTCAACAATACCTTCGTGCGAGTCATGTCCTCATCTGTGCCTTCCCCTGGCAACTTGCCATCCCAGCTAGCTCTCCTCAAGCACCTAGGAAGTACTGTCAGTTTAGGTCGAACTTTAACACTATAGCTGAGGTTATGAAAGGAAAGAACAAAGGGAAATGAAGTAGGATTAGGAAAAAGCGGATCATGGCAATTGCTATTTTCCTTGATGGAGTCACCAAATTCTTGAAGCTCCATGCTTTTGCTTCTAGGCCTAAAAATGGCAGTGATAGAGAGAGTCAAAACTTGTTGACAATGGGTGTTTTGTTTGGGCTCAAGACATGTGCACTGAGCTCATTTCACCGCATCTTGAATGCCCATAATCCTCCATATATTCCTTCCCTTTTATGTATAATACATTCTACATAAAAACAATAATATCTATAAAATGGGAAGTGTGGAGTGGGAGTAAGCGAGTCCAGTCCGGAAGGGCTTTCAACGTTAAGTTTTCTTCACATTTTTAATTAAGTACTTTATGCGCACTCTTCAATGTAGTACGCCTATTTGCAGCACTATTCGGCCACACTAATGCTTATCTAAAACTAAACTTCAGCGTTTCCAGATCTCACAAACGTTTCTTCTTTTCTACGCTAGGAGATAAACATTCTTGGGTACTACTTCAGAGAAGGTCAACCTGCTCAAATAAGGCATATTTTGGGGACAAAAGATCATTGTACTTCTAACTTAGCCAATAAATTCCTCTATCTATGATGCAAGCAATTACAACAATTTGAACTCTTAAAGCTCTTTAGTCTCATCAGTCACTTCTCAATGGCTAATTTGGTAACGAACACATTCTTAAAGCTCTCCTGCACATGCCTTAATTGCTTCAACAAATGGATTTCTTGAATGTATTCAGTCGATGCAACCACATGGCCCAAGTGGACGACCAGATAGCTTTGATTTTCAGTTGAGTGCATTTTAAGCAAAAAGAACCCCAAAAAGGGACTTTAGGCTTTGGGATAAGCAAAGGAGTGCATTTTAAGCAAAAAAAAAAAAAAAAAAAAATAGGGACAGTTAAGAGCTTTCATTAATATGTTTAATTTTATTATTTTAAATTTTGAATTTGAAAACTGAAAATTTTAAGTGCCTGTTCAGAGATGGTTATGTCTGTTTAAGATAGTTATAACTTAGCAGGCATCTAATACCTATATATATATATATATATATATATATATATATATATATAGAATTTCCTAAGTCTTTTTCTTCTTACTAATTTGAAAAACTGACAATGTATTGTTGCACAAATGCAGAGAGGATAAGTTACCTCCCTTTTTCGTCTTCTCCTTTTCAGAATTATCGTATAAATTCTTTTGTTAATTATGTGGACATATTAGATTAGTTAAGAATGTTACTCTACTTAGGACCAAAGAATCATTATTAACATCCTTTCTGCATTTCACTCAAAAATCACAAGAGAATTATAATGCTGCCTTTGTTAGTCCACTCTCAACATATACAAAACGAACATCAAGAGATGCAACAGCACCAGCAAGAAAATCCTACTAACCAACTTACCATATGTAATTAGCTAAGTTGCTTAGCTCAGGCAAAGCAAAAAGAATAATGAAAACAAGGACAGTTAGTGGACTGAAGTACCGGACCTGTCAGAAATTCCGACACCCATCAGCATATCGGAGACCAGCCTCACCTTCAATACTGTAGTTGATGATAGTCACCGAGAATTAGCCGCTTGCAACATAGTAAGTATTCACCCATATAGCCAGTTTTTTCTTCTTCACATCAAAGATGATATCCTTTTGACTTTTGTGGATTGACAAAGGCGGTAAATCCATCTGTAGATTGGCCAAGGCAGTAAACGTGCCCCTTCAACATAAAATGACAACTATTCTCCATCATCTCGATGCTCGTTCAACCGAACCATCTCTTCTGATTGGGCCAAGTAAGCGCGCCCCTTCCTGTTTTGGAGCGCCAGGAAGGTTGCAGTTTGAGAGGCATGTAAACAAATACAGAGAACGATATCGAAATGAAGAAGGAACACCTTGAAGAAGATAACAAAAGTGAACAGAAAAGTTGGTTATACCATTCCACATGTGTATATTCTCCATTTAACAATTCTGTATAGCCATGATGAAACTATAGCTAGATATATCATTTTGATGATATTAGTCATAACCACTAAGGAACGGAAGTAATAATGAAATGAAATTACATAGTGAAGCTCAGTTGTAAAGAATAATATCTTCTATTCAAAAGGCATACAGTCTCATAACTCCCCAGTGGTCACATACTTCCAAGCTCACGGTACTATCTACATTTGCTACATTCTCTTACAGTAAATTACCCCTTCAAGTTATAGTCTACAACTACGTCAAGCATTTACATGTATGTTGGATATGACATAAAAAAAGATGCTATTTTTCTAAATAACATGACTAAGTGGCCCAATCCCTAATTCGTCCTCCATGTCATCGTCCTCTTCAAACAGCTTCAAGAAACGAGCTTGCTCTTGCTGCCTCTTCTTTCGCTTCCAATATTTGTAAACAGTGACTGCTCCAAGAACTAAAACAGTTGACGCTAAAGCACAAATAAGCAGCACTAGAGCCCAGTGCATTCTCTTTCCCCCTTTTTGTGAGTCAGGTGAGTGATTAGAAGCTAGAGAAACAACGCAATAGAACTAACAATTAGTACTGAGCATACAAGTAAACCAACTCCACAAATTTGCGGAAGCAAAAAAATCTTCAGTCTATAAATAGAGCCCAGATAAGAAAAATAACAAGGAATTTCCTTTAACATCTAAAGCTTAAAACTGCAGAGTATTAGTGACTTATTCTACATCACCACATCACAGCCCGACCTCTATTGCATCAGCTACCAAAATGTACCAAAGAGAACTACAGAAAAGAATACCATAAGGAACTAGAAGACTAACCACCACCACGAGGGACACACTCTGGGCACAAAAATGTGGCATTGAGCTCTTTCTTTAAGAAATGAACATACTTCCCATCAAGATTAGTAAAATCAGAAGCACATAACTCCCACTCATCAAAAGTATCATCAGGCTTTATTGTGTCCTTCTCATAGATTCCGCATCGTTTGCACTTTTTATCTGTAAGCTCTGTCAAAGGCTAAAACATAAAATGCACTCAACATCAAATTTTGAAGGAGATATATCTTATGCCATGCACATCATATTAGCATAAACCTGGATATTCTGTACAACAACAGAAACTCATAAGCTCTCGAGCAGCACACATACTGATAGAAGTTGAAAATAATGCATAACAAATTCCATGACCCAAATTCTTGAGTCGAGGGTTTTTTGGAAACAGCCTCTCTACTCTTACGGGGTAGGGATAAGGTCTGTGTACGCTCTACCCTCCCGAGACCCCACTTGTGGGATTTTACTAGGTTGTTGTTGTAACTTCCACGACCCAAATGCTAATTTCCAAATGTGATTCCTCCCCATCATGCAACACAAATATCTCAGTCCCTGCT